GGCAATTCATAATAATTATATTGAAGAACGTAGTGAAAATATTTCAAAAATCATTAAAACGTGATGAAATACATTTTGTTCGATCATTATAATATCTGATGTTTTTGAAAGAACTATGTAAAAACGTATACATATTTTTCATAAAACATTAAAAACTAATTTTATCATAGTTAAAATTAAAAATATTCAGAAAACAGAAACTAAAAAGGCTTTTTGATTACTGTAATAACTTATAATATGTTACTACGATGAATCTTGTTTTAATATTCTGGTAGTTTTCAATATTTTATTTAAGAAAATATAAGTAGAAAAACCACAAACTCCAAAAGTTCTTTTTGAATTAAAAACTTATCAAAATTTGTTTTAAACTGTAAATTTCATTATCAAAGTATGTAAAGATCAATCTGTATATACGAGTATTATATCTAATATTTCTTCTGAAATATGTTTAGATTCAATAACTATCTAAGACTATAATTTTTTTTAAATTTTTGTATTTGTAATAGTTTTTAATTGTTATTCAAAAAATTAATCAAAAGTTATAATATTTTAAGGCACTCTCTATATTCAAATAGTTATAAAAAAAATATGAGAAGGGGAAATTTTAAAAGTTTCCGATATGTTTGTAATTTTAAAAATAATAATTTATTATAATATATACATACAAAGTATATAGATGACGTCAAAGAAATCTTGCGAAATATTTACAGTAAATGTTATCTTTGATTTTCGTTAACAAGAAACTATAGAGTAAATTACTTTTAGATTACTTATTGTAGTCTCTTGCCTTAAACTTCAATGATTAAATAGCTCTTTGTCTGAAAACTAGGTTGTCAATAACTTTTAGTTTAACAAAACTTTTTTGAGGTTTTAAATTAATTTGAAACGGTGTGAATCGTGCCAACCACGCCGTTGTCGAAAAATCGAAAAGGTTTTCGATATTACGTCAACTATATTTGAAAAATGTACATACATTTATATTATATGGGGGAGAGATCGTCTTGGTCCTAATGAACAAGCTTAAATAAGCGTCAGAATCGGGACCCTAAGATTGTTAATTACACAATAAGGTTCGTTATCTCATAAAATACATTTACAAAATTATGCAAAGTGGTCATGGCAATATTCGGGATAACATATATAAGTTTCCGTCAATATACTGACGGAGTGGATACTCGTCAATTAAACAATCCGAGGTGGATGGGAAACTGGTGGCCCTGATAAGGGTCATTTTCGTTTATATCCTTGCCGGATATCTGAATTACTGTAGATTTCCACTGTAGTCGTAAGAAGTCATCGCCGCAGTTGTCAAACAAATCTTCGTTCTTTTATTATTTTGACTGAATAGATGTTTTCGGTCGAAGAATAGGTTCAAGAATATTGATAGAAGGTAACGGTTATGTGATAGACTCTCTTATTTAACCCTATTCCTGTCTCGTACATTTATTGGAATTAGCGTGTATGTTTTTTAGCAATATAAAATAGCATATTTTAACCGTGTTTTCTTATTGAAAGGTATCATTTTACACTGACATTATTTGTCTTCGTGGTAGAGTAATATATTACCACCCATATTTAGTTTGTAATATCTTGGATGCTATTTTATATTGCTATTTCGTTTCTTTTTATTTTCACGTGGTAGCTCAGAGAAGGACCGTTTCTTACGGAAATTCTCTGTTACAAATTTTTTGAACCATTATTATTTTCGATTATTTTATGTTCAATCAAATACACGCATCCTTTTGAATATTTATCATTTGTTATAAACAATGTATAAGAATAATTTGTTTTATTATTGTTGTTTATTGTTATTTATTGTATTACCATCGTATAAAGTTGAAAAGTTTAATAATAAGTAAATTATTGAACACTTTATCAATAACTTAAAGAAATCTAAAACTCTATAAAAAAAATAATAATGTTATAAGTCTCTTTTTCATAGTTTTTAGTGAAATTAAACCTTGATTCGAGCTCTGTTATTCGAGTACAATACATAGTAGTAAAGGGATAGAAAAATAAATTAAAAATGTAGATTATCGTAGTAAATATTATATGATATTAAAAACAAATGTTTATATTAATCGATAAGTCAATAAATATATTTTCATCGATTCTAAATCTAATGTTAGTACATTAGTTAGACCAGTGCTTCTAAACCTTTTTTGTTGTAGGGCCCTTTAAATTTAATGTAAAACTGTCAAGGCCCCCATCAATCAAAATCATTAATTATTTACTGTTAATGATATACTAAATTTACACTCACTATTTCATACAAATAAATTATTAAAATATAAAGAAAATAAATGTTTTTTAATATGTTTTGAAATATAATCCTATAATTGTATACAACTTAAAACAAATATAAACAAAAAATAATTGGTAATAACTATAAAGCAATACAAGAATATTCAGTAATAATGTTGATTTGATTTCAAACAAAGGCTAGGTTAATAATAATAATAATAAAGCATATTTTCACATAACATATTTATGTCAGGTGTGATATTTGAAACTGAAATACCCAAGTTTGCTTTTAAGGACTGTTGTGAAATGTATGTTCTATGTTTGTTTAATATAATTTTAAGTTGTGAAAATACAGTTCCACAAAGATATGGTGATGCGAAAGGTATTAATATAAGTAAAGCCGCTTTCGAGATTACAGGATACTCTTGCTGTCATCTAAACCAAAATGTAGTGGGTTCTTTTTCATTAAATTCGGTTTCAAGAATTTCAAATGCAATTAATATTTCACGGTTCTCCAGTTATATAATCATGGCCCCCAGGGGGGCGCAGTTCCCAGGTTGAGAAGCACTGAGCTAGACTAAACGTCGTAGCATACTACTATATATATATTTGCCTATAATTATGTTTCGTTTGATAAAAACTTTTCTATTTTACCTCTTACCGTTAAATATGGTTAATAGAATAACGTTGATGTCACTCCCGGAAATTGTTATTCGAACGTTGACGTGAAACAACAAACCAGCAACGGAACTTGGCTCTTAATTTAGAGACAGATTCATTCATACATATATAGCTTTTTACTATACATAAACACACATGTTATGAAAATATTGCATATACTCGTATATGAATGAAATGCTTTTAAAAATATCTCTATGCTACTGTTGGTAAAATATTTTAAAACATTATTTGACCCTTATTATAATATATAGTTGAACGACATATACCAGGTACTTTCAACTTGGTGAGCACGCATATTAAATTAAACAACATAATAATATATCATTTCTTTCTTATGGTAAACACAATATGTATTTTAAATTAATAGGTCCGAGCATACAATTATTTATAACACTTATAAATGCAGTTTTATCACTTTTTATATATATATATTGTATAGTATACAAACAAAAAGTGATAAAAAATGCAGAAAAAAAAAAACAATTATATTATGATTATGTTGAAAAAATCAATAAGATATAATACAGAAACTCTACATTTTTTTATGCATGCATGTTTAAAACATAAAAATAAATAAAACCTCAACATTTAATGTGAGTAAAATGTCATATATTTATTAAAAATACATTCCAAATTATATTTTTCGATAGATTATGAAAAAAACACGTTCGTCAACGGTGATGTTTTTTATGAGAAATGATAATTATACGTTTATGAGTATAAAAGTTTGAGATACAAACGTATAATATTATAGGTTATATGAAATATGAAAAGTGTTGACAATCGACAGTAATATTTTAATTATTGATAATTGGACGAAAAAACATGTGAAATGTCAATAGTTGATTATACTCTTACTTATAACAGCAATAATTTTATTTTTATTTTCAAATAGTTTTTGTTTTTAGTCTTTTTACAGCATGGAGTATATAATACGTGAATTAGGATCATATCGTTGTAAAATGGAAAATATATAAAACCAAAAATATTTTGTTCGGAGCACTGTTCTAAAAAGACATATTTTTCTTAAATATATTCCGTATGTGAAGGACAAAAATAAAAACCAAATCCGAATTACATTTACAAACCAAATAGTTAGATTTAGAGTCGTTTTGCTGTCACCGCCCGTGCTTCGATGTAGGTATATTAAGTTGACAGTGTCCGCAGATGGGAAATTAGGTTATTTTGGGTCGTATAAATTTAATTCGAAATTCTATTTAATTGTCATATTGGAATAATAACATTATTGATGCGTATATTTATTAAACTATTGAACGTAATACACGCACAAATCATATGTGCTACAGTATAAATGTGATATAATTTAATATCGCAACAATGCAATATGTGCTATAATACAAGGTGGTATTTTATTCGTTTTCACATTTACCGTAACACAAGACTGGTATTGTAAAATAACTGCAGGTGAATGCTGTATCGATCCTCTGACCGAAATATTGTTATTGCTAGAAAATTTAATTTATCTTTTGTACTGTACAAAAAGATTTTTTTTTTTTTGTGAAATTCAAGAGAGGACCGCAACACTTGTATGTTCCCTGCTTTGTGGTACATGCGACCATTTGACACTATAACAAACACGATAACAATATTTCTTGGGTGGTACGTAAAATAGAAAATAAAAACAGTCCCGTCAGTCCCAAAGCACGCGACATACAATCGTTTTGTTCGTGGACACGTGGTGATGTTATCGGTAAGATATTATTATATATCAGGAGAGATTTTCAATACCGATCATCGTTTTCAGTGCACACGACATTTACCAATCGATGCAATACAATATCTTTTATATAATACATAATGGAATGTTTCTGCGAAATATCGTTTTTGTCGAAAACACCGTGTGTCTACGTAGTACACACATTATGTACATCCCACTTAAATACATGCCGGCGGGTACATTTGTATATTTTAAGAAATGTGCGCCTTCGTGTACACACATATTTACCTCACGAGAAGCAATCAAAATAAAACATTTCATATCGGTGGTGGTGGTGTTCGCGTGCAGTGGCGTTTCACTTTCGAGCGTACAGGCGCACAGAGAGCGCATCGAAACGGCGGCGGACGTGGGTCGCGGGCCACGGCGGGAATCCAGTAATGGCTTCAGTCGCACAACGCGGCCACGACTACCGGTCGTGGATGGCACGCACACACGTTACCCGGTAACAGGTATATATACCATACACAAACACGCACACGCACGCACATGATCGTCGTCAACTTCGGGGCGTGAATAAATCATATTATACACCGCGGTTGCCATCGTGGTCGCATAAGAATGGAGAGCATATACCCAAGGAGGGTGCCTATCATGGGTAACCTGACGGGCAATGGATGGACGGTGGCCAGCCAGGAGAGTGTGCTCTCCTTGATCGTCGTCCTTGGAAGCAGCGTGTCCTTGGTCGGACTCATATTCGCGTTCATCACGTACAGGTAGGAGCGAATCTACCTGCTCACCTGACCAACGCTCACATCACTCCCATCACTCTCTAATATGATACTGCTTCCAAATCCTAGTGCACATATACTACGCATAAGTCATATGACGAACCGTTTTGCCCCATGTGTCCCGAGGGAACTTTTTCCGATTATCCCGAAAAATCGGGGCTCGTACAAAAATGACCGTGGGGATCAATCCCTACCCTCAGCAAAAGGACGTGATCGACCCATCGTCGTATCCCTAGGACTATTTACGTATGTTTGAGCACAGCCTTTTTCCCAATACCACTATTATAGCAAACATGCTGAAATAACCGAAAAACAAAGATTTAAATAAACGTGATTATTTTCTCCGAAATTTAACCAACCCAATCATCCAACTTGAATACCTACCGAGAATAATCTAACATAAATTATCTATAAGTGCAATATTCGTTAGTTAATATCGAAAGTTAAATATATCAACTACAATTATAAAAAAATATCGTCACTGACGATTATGACACGATATCGATTTATTCTGAAAATCCAATTGGTATAACCGGTCCTTCGAGTATACGCATTTTTCTTGGTATTTTATGGAATGGACCTATTTCCGAGCCAAAACCACCAAAATTTATTTTCTGCTGGTTAAATTTAAATCCGAAGCTATACAATATCTCTCCTCCAACTAAGATTATCTTGATAGCCTGTCATGAAAACAACACCATTATCTTATGGTCAAAGATGAAAAATCGAAATACCGAAACGCTACCATACGTGTATAACAAATGCGTGTCGAATGCATGTCTGTGTATGTGTGTGTGTGTGTGTGTGTGTGTGTGTGTGTCTATGAAAGGGTCATGGAATTACGGCTGTCGAACGTGGTTTTTCAGTAATTTGACATATTATAGTAACGATTCACTCGAAACGTTCTGTCGAGAGAATTTCAATTGTCTGTGCACACCAATCAAATGGCGATATTGTGTACATAGTAATATAATATAATGTAAGTATTGCGAATGCATACTTTTTTGCTGTACAAGTGCATGATAAAATTACCGACTGTCTCCGATCGAACCAGTGCGTAATATCACTAATGTTTCTCGTTGTCTATCAATCAAAGGTGGCCCATTGAATGAAATACCCAACCATTGTTAGGAAACTCCGACATGTCACCGCGATTGACAAAAAAAAAAAATTTGTTAATGATATTTCAGTGCGGTAAATGAATAAATCACCGATCAACATTTGTCTACTCAACGATGGATATACTGTTACACGATAGAGTAATCCGAGTAAATAAACGTTGATTCTGCGGTGGATAAAAGTAAAAAAAATCGCCCACGAATCAAAAAGATAAGATAAGCTTTCATTTCGGTTTGTTCAATTAGGTGTAAAAAATAATTGTATAAAAATATCATTGATCGATATACTGGTACGGGATGAAAAATTATTTGGTTCACGAAAAGCAATCAGATCCAAATTCAATTTATATAGATCATACATAATTTATGTAATTTGTCTAATATCAAATGTTGAACTGTAAAAAATATGTGAATACTTTAGACTCTTTAATAAAGATTAAAACTGTTTTCATGTACTTCAAACTTTTTTAATGCTACGTAGCTAAAAACTATAAATCTCTCGATACTAATCAATGATCAAATAATACAAATAGTGAAATAAAGCTATTTCATTTCTTACCGGTTCAAAATCCAAAACGGTATCGATAGTCAACGTTTCTTCTTCGTTTATAGTAAAAATGTTAACTATAAATGACAATGAGTAGGTTTGAACATACACATAACCGTACTTGGCTAAATTTTACATTTTGATTACGATCATCAGAAGTACTTTCATTATTTCTAGTATTTCTCCTGAGTGAAAATTTGATGGGTAAAATTAAAACAAACAAAAGTGATTAACCATCATTATGACTTACAAAAAATATAAGATAAGAGAGAAAACAAAACTCAGACTGAAACATTCATAGTTATAAAAGGGATTAAGTACTTATTTTATACTTAGCTAAATATTTGGTTTTAACGGAACCGATTCTAAAAACAAGTTCATGATAATAATGAATATATTAAAAAACAAATACACACAAATGTTACATTATTATTATAAATATCTGTGATATTTTTAAATTTTTATCGATAAAAAGGGCTAGAAAAATTTTAAGTTTATTTTTTATTTTTTATTTTTAAACAATGTATTAAAATACAATATTATAACCAGTTTCTAAAATCAAACTGTAGACGAATAATGGGACTTATAAACGTAATAAATGTATAAATAATAATACTCAAGGCTGAGTGAGTATTTATTTATTACTATATATAAGCAATTTATTTATATACTACTAGCTGAATAACTCAGCTTCACCCGTGTGCAATTTTATGTTACCTACGTACAATTTTTACTTTATCAGTTTTATATTCCAGGTTGCTTTTAAATGTGTTGACCCTAGATTGCCCGTATATTTTAATAACCAGGAATAAGCAAAAAATTATTATATTTTAATATTTCGAAGACAAACTGTAAGATGCAATTGTAATCGGAGAAATGTTGAAATAAAATATGCCTACAAAATTATAAATTACTCTTAAGATTTTTATTTGAAAAAAATGTTTTACGTATTATTATTATTATTATTATTACTATTATTAGCATTATATTTATTATGACTAAAATTGTTATTATTATTTATAAGATCACCTTAAGGTGTCTAATAAAAATAGTTAAAAACACTGAAAACAGAATCACAAATGAAACATGTCACCATGATTATTTTTAAATCGAAATACAATATAATAAGCTATCGATAAAGTGTTGAATATAGTCATTAATATATATTCCAGACATATAAACTATCAGTGGTCTCAATTAATTTATTATTATATTAACTTTCAAAGTTTTCTAACTTTTCAAAAACAGGCATAATAAACAACATATCTATAATATTTATATGTTACAGTTTTAAAAATAACTACTTAAATAATCATAGCAAATGCATAGTTTAAAAGGGGTAAAAATGGAAAAAATTAATAGAAAATTATATTTTTATATGCACTTTGGTCAGTGATTCCGGTTAGATAATGATGAATCACTTAGGATAAGTTATTTTATATAAGAAAAAATTGTCTATACAATTTTTCTATTTTGACCTTTTTTAACCCCTGTAGGGGTTGAATTTTGAAATATCCTTTCTTAGGGGTATTTGCATCATAAAATGAACATACTGACTAAATTTCAAACACATAGCTTCAGTGGTTCTGGCAAGGTGATTTTTTTCATTTTACACCTTTAAAACCTTTTAACCCTTTTAGAGGTAGAATTTTGAAAAATCCTTTCTTAGTGGGTATCTACAGAACATAAAAAAAAACTACTGTCCGAATTTTATACTCATACTTTCAGCAGTTTCGACTAGGCAATGATAAAACATTTAGGTCAAATTATTTTATACATACAGATAAAATATCTTATTTTTAAATAACAAAATGCATTTCTAATATTCTTCCAATATTCCTAATAAGTAATAACTCAATTGTAATTTTAACAAACGCAGTTTCGATAAAAGTATTGTTGTTAACTGCAAAGCTTAAGATATTCATATTTTCTTATAGATTCTTATAACTCAATATTGTTTTTATTATTAAAACGTAGTTTAATATTTATTTATTATAATATAAATAGCTGTGATTAAAAATAGACATGTTAATACAATGATTAATATATGAACCGTAAAATTAATTTATTTGATAAAAACAAACACACATAATTTATGCTTATTAAATGAATAAATGTATGATGAATAATAATTAAAAAAAAAAAATTGTAATATTCCCCCCATAATGTACGTTATTTATCATGCTATTACTGAGTTAGGCACTCAGTCATGTTGTTTTACATTTTTAAAAATTGCTTGTACAGGGTACAATGATGTGAACTATTTTGTCATTGGTTTATTTTAATTTTAAATTTTCCTGTAGTTGTCCGCAGAAGGATTAGATCATGTCATTTGCAATGACTATGGATCATTGAAAGAACAAACGCGTGTTGTCTTTATAATTAGATTATATTTTTATAACAATGCCTTATTATTTTAATTTTTTTTTTCAGACATTTTAACGTTTATTTAGATAATGTAACATTTTGATTAATGGTGACGCGATATAAAACTATACGTTACATGTTATCTTCGATAAAGAGGGTTCAGTGTCCAAAAAAAAAAAAACTGAGAGATTTGGATAGGTCATGACTTGGTTCTTTTTTTTGTTAGTATCAAATTATAATACGTCGAAGGAACAAAAAATATAATATCTATGCCCTTATATTACTTTGCCGTTATTACCTTGTTAAATAAAATTGACTATTGATTTAAATTCTATATATTTATTTAATATTTTTAATGTTGATTAATAGATATTAATAAATTGCTATGGAAATAACATTTTATAAATGTTGAATATTTTTTATAATGATTTAACTGTAGAAGATTGATGCAATGCATTTCAGCGGGATATAAACTATTTATCTACTACTTCAGTTCTTTCGTTTAATATATTTTTAATCGGAATAGCCATATACATTTAATATAATATTTATTGCATGTTTAATATCTCCATTTTTTTCATTGTAGTCAAAGAAAAAATATTAATAATAATATATAATATTATTATTATACTTATTATTTAAAAGGTTAAAGTTTATATAGCAATATAAAGAGAAAATACCAGTTCACAATTTTTTTCAGATTTAATATAAATATTTCTTTGTTTGATTCACTATAATAATCAAAAAGGAAAAAAATTCTATAAAATCAAAAAAATAAGACTCATTAATATAAGGATGGTGTATGTTGTTATTGCTGTATTTTGATATTTTTAAATATCTGTACTAATATTTGGTTTCATTATAAAGTCATAGTTGTAACAACAATTAATTACATTTTTTAGGTTTCACAGTTGTTTTTCGGGATTGTATTTTTATTTTTAATGTTTGTCTAA